TATTTTCAATAACTTTCGGCTGGGTTAGGATGAAGTACAAGCGTGGATCGAGGGTGCTTTACTTTTCAAATATCACGCCATTTCTTCGCTTTTCGATGAATAATTTGCTCATATTTCAGCTCATTATCGTCATTAGCTCACCACGATATTAGTTGAAAATGTCAATAGAATTGAAAATTTTAATCAAAAACCTCTAGAAATTGGAATGGCTATAGCAATTCAATTGTTCTTGCGAGTTTTTGCGAGAAGAATTTGAATTTGGCGGGAAACGATGAAAATTCGAATTAAATCCGGTGAATGTAGGTAATTATAATAAATATATTTTAAATAACTTTCGACTAAGTTTGGATTACCTACGAAAATAAATCAAGGGTGATTTATTTTTCAAATATCGCGCCATTTCTTCGCCTTTCTGCGGGCTTTTGCGAGTCGCGAAAAGAATTTGAATTTGGCGGGAAACGGTGAAGATTCGAATTAAATACGGTGAATGTAGGTAATTATAATAAATATATTTTTAATAACTTTTGGCTAACAATAAGTTAGTATGAAGTATAAGCGTAGATCAAGGGTGCTTTACTATTCGCGATAACGAGTGTTCATAACCTTCGAAAACGTACCGACAATTTCACAATCTAACATAACTACGATATGTCAATACTGAAACCACTAAATACCATTAATAAACATCATTGATCCCAAAATATACGAAAATAAATCAAGGGTGATTTATTTTTCAAATATCGCGCCATTTCTTCGCCTTTCTGCGGGCTTTTGTGAGTCGCGAAAAGAATTTGAATTTGGCGGGAAACGATGAAAATTCGAATTAAATCCGGTGAATGTAGGTAATTATAATAAATATATTTTAAATAACTTTCGACTAAGTTTGGATTACCTACGAAAATAAATCAAGGGTGATTTATTTTTCAAATATCGCGCCATTTCTTCGCCTTTCTGCGGGCTTTTGCGAGTCGCGAAAAGAATTTGAATTTGGCGGGAAACGGTGAAGATTCGAATTAAATACGGTGAATGTAGGTAATTATAATAAATATATTTTTAATAACTTTTGGCTAACAATAAGTTAGTATGAAGTATAAGCGTAGATCAAGGGTGCTTTACTATTCGCGATAACGAGTGTTCATAACCTTCGAAAACGTACCGACAATTTCACAATCTAACATAACTACGATATGTCAATACTGAAACCACTAAATACCATTAATAAACATCATTGATCCCAAAATTTTTATTTTCTCAATTAAATAAAAATTCTAATATATTATATATGCGAATATATACACACACTCTAACAGAAAATACAAGTATAGTCACCATGTAAATACCTTCGATAAAATTAACATGACTCGAAATAGGAATGTCATTATTCCATTTATTGAAGTGATCCAAGATCTTTTACTTACGAAAGCCGCATTAATTATCATAATACACGTTACATATATATCCATGCATATATTCAGATGCAGTTACAAGTCGGTAGCTCTACCGTAAAGAGAATTGGAATCCAAACAAACGACAGCACGAAGTTTTAATGACCAGCAGCTATTCGGGTTCGCTACCCGAGATGATGCTATCTACCTGGTCGTTTGAACTCTCGTCAGAACTACTTAGGATAAACGCCAGGGTTCGGAATGCCAGAACATCTTCTTCCTGGCAAGCATCTCAAAACTCCTCGCTTCGCTATAAATGCTTTGCTTTACTATAAAAGTCATTCATTGACCAACCCAACCGCGAGAGACTTGTTGGTTGACCAACAACCCGTTCACTCTTAGTCGCTAAAAGAACCTAACCTAACACAGACCAACGTCAGAGTTCAAAACATCTTACTCATTCCCACTTTCGCTAAGGACCAATGATCATCTTCACCCCTCCAAAAGTAAAAATATATGTAGGAACGGAATGAGTACGGCCCTGAAGGAATGATAAGAGTGTTTGGGCTTAGAACAGAAGTGACCACGTGCAAGAGGATTGACTGTAAAGAATGTTTCACTGCCTGCAAAAGTTGCCACTCCTTCGCTAATTGTAACCTCAAATTTCGGGTCAACGATGACCCGGCGGCAGCTACGTATACGTTAAATCTCTGATCGGATACTCGGAGACCACGAGGTACACAGGATTTAACCGTTTGAGTCCCAGAGGGTTTTGAAAAAACACTGACGGGGAATCCCAAGCAGCGCGATAGCGCTTCTATTTTATGTCGACGAATCCCAAGCGGCGCAATAGCGCTTCGTTTATATTACGGCGATGAATGGCCAAGTGGCGCAATAGCGCTTAACTTTGACAGTCAGTGACGCACTGTCGGTTGTCGAGAACGCTCGAAATGTACTGCGTTTTCTCGACATGGAATCTGAACAGCGCGATCGCGCTGCTTGGGACTCAATCGGTTAAAAAACGTGTTAACCCATTTGCATCATGGCTTTACTTAAGGTGCCGTGTTCTGGCATCAGCGACGTTCAACTGACGACTAGCCCGTATCACCGCGCGCGTATCTACTCATAATGGCAGTTAAAAGGATTTTCACAACAAAAGTAAAACTTGTTAAGAATATAACGAACCGATGTACATGAGATGCACACAAAAGGGATCAAACGTGATCTGTGGCATATAAAGAATATTCAACAACTGGTAATGGAGAAAGTCAGCTCGCGGATTATTCCGCGCTCGGTGATAGGCGACAGTCGTGGCTCGCGGAATATTCCGCGCTCGGTGATAGACGACCGTCGTGGCTCGCGGAATATTCCGCGCTTGGATGCAAATGGGTTAAATACGAGAAAATTATAGCCTCGTCAATTGCTTTTTTCTGAGTGGCCACTGTTTCGCTTTATTGCGCGCTATTAATACTAATGACTCGCAACGTGTATCTAAATACTCTCGCGTATTATACTTGCACCATGGTAGCTTCCTCGTTTTTCGTATTTTCGAAATACTCGCCGCTTTTGGAGAAAAAGCTTGGTCCAGATTAAAGCGAATAGAGCGTATACTGTATATACTATACGTGGTTAATAATAATTAAAGTGCTGCAATGGAAATAAATAGATATAGGGGTACCTGTTTAGGCTACTAACGAGGACAAAGTGCGCGGATCTATTCGAAAATCCCGGGGCCTTTGTTTCGTCATGAAAGTTATTTTCATTTATTATTCGCTCGATATTAATTCTTTTTTGCTAGGCTATGTATAAATGACTGAAAATCTCATTGGAGGTATTGAATCAGTAGGAAATTAATTTCGTCGGAAACGACCACGCTTTTCCGATAATTGGGAAACGTTTGGGGAGCAACGTGAAAGGTTAATTTTCTTGAATTCGTAACACGGTAATAACGCGTTCTAATATTAACAAAGACAAACTACAAAATCAGAAAATATTCCCATAAAATAAATAAAAATTTATTGAAATATAGAAATAACAGAATATTCCCATTCCTTTCTAAAAATTCGACGAGATTCACAGTGATTCTTAAAACCTTCGCACTCAGAGTAATTTTTACTACGGACTGTTTACAACAACCTCCGAACAATGGCGCGAGGGCGCCACAGTCGAGGATTGAAAATCTTCCTTTGTCATTAATAAAAGAGGGTGTATAAATTTTAAAAATATTGTAGAAATGTTGGGTAGGCTGCAGAATAAGCAGTGATGTAAATATAAAATAATTTATTCCGAACTAAAACTTATTCTAAGCGCTAATGACTCTCAAAAAGCTCTATGACTGACTCTAAAACACACACTGACTCTTCTGCGTCTTTGCACTCTTATTTAACACGTTGAATACCATGGGAGCCACCGGTGACCAACGACGCGACCATTAGTACACAATTACATACATAATTAAAGTAAATATCGATACTGATAAATTTGTTGGAACCCGGATTTCAATTCGAGACGACGTTTTTCCTGTACGCAATTACTCGATGAAATGCAATCTTCGTCATCGGAACATTTCGCTAAATACATCGCTAACTTCATCCTAAAATCGGGAATTGAAATATTTCTTCGAATTGCTTTTTAGACAATTGATAATGGCAAAAATGGTCTACAGCGCCTCGGGGGTCACCGGTGACCCCTAGCACGAAAAATACATTAAACGCGATTATACAACTCACCTTATCAGTTGTAAATAATGTTTCAACATAATATGCATCGCACAATAGAAAATTCGTCTTCTTGCGCCACGGGCAATCCATGTAAAACTGGCGTGGCATACAACGTGTTAAACCTTGCACTCTGTCTTCTTTCATACTCATGCGATGGGTCATACAATCGATGGGTCACGTATCCTAAACACTCGAACGCATTCCTAGGCTTTCATTCTTTACTTGCATTCGATACTACCATAAATATCTCGTTCATATTTTCCTTGCACACAGTCACTCGTCTTTCCACACGCAGTCCAAATAATAGCCTAAACACCTAAGCAGAACCCGAGGACGCTGTTTATTGTTGATTGTTTCGAGGAACAACTCAGGCGTTCCCATGCACAATACAGTGATAGGCACCTAACAGACACTATCACAGCCGGTGACCTCCTACGATATGTTTTATTATGTCAACGTGAAGAATGTGACACAGGAGCTATTAGCTTACTTAACAATGTCACCACAGTGGTGATAACAGAGTGTAAAATCTTTCAATTTTTCCCTATGCTCTACCAAATCGACGACCCTATCTGAAAACATCGAACATTCCTTACAGATTACATCCCCATTTGCGACACGCTAGGTACCAGGTTTCCCTTTTCTTTGGTCAAACAATGAGTTATCGCGATCGGTGATTCGCCACGGCGACCGGGATTAAAGGAACATCTCTATTCTTATAGAACGTAAACAATGACGCGGTCCCAGCGTATGTGGGGTAAGGAATAAGCGCGATAAGGACATAGGAATCATCGCGATAGCGGTAGATAAAGCGATAACCTGGTTTCTGCCAAAAATATATATAACAGGACGAAATCGCGGATCGAGAGCCGAACTTTCTACAACGATTGATCGAATGGATCAGTTCTGGAGCGTTCTGCTGCTCGGCCTGGGCCTCCTAATCGCTGGATCGGGATGTTCCGCAATGGCGGACAAGGAGTGGTGGGAAACCGCTTTGGTTTATCAAATCTGGCCGAGGGGATTCCAGGACAGTGACGGAGATGGCGAGGGTGACTTGAAGGGTACGTTTTGAATCTGCGAATCCTCGAAATCTAGAGACTCTACGGGAATTTGGTGCAATCTGCAATGTTTCGTGTAACAATTTTCGAAATTTTATAGTCAAAGTTTCGAATTATTTGCATTCGATTCAAACCCTTACACTGTGATTTAATTTCGGAAAATTAGGTATCGGGAAAGTGTTATACCTCTGTTGCATTCGTGATAAAATTATGGGAAAATTTTAATGGTTGTGGAGGAAAATATATCTTAATTTTTGGAACGTTATAGTCAAAGTCCCGAATTATTAGCATTCGATTCAACCTTTGCACTGTGATTTAATTTCGGAAAATTAGATATCGGGAAAGTGTTATACCTCTGTTGCATTCGCGATAAAATTATGGGAAAATTTTAATGGTTGTGGAGAAAAATATATCTTAATTTTTGAAACGTTATAGTTAAAACCTCTGTTCCATTGGCGACGAAATTATGGAAAAATTTTAATGGTTGTAAAGGAAGATATATATTAATTTTTGAAACGTTGTAATCAAAGCCCCGAATTATTAGCATTCGCTTAGCCCCTTGCACTGTGGTTTAATTTCAGAAAATGAAATATCGGGAAAGTGTTGTACCTCTGTTCCATTCGCGATAAAATTATGGGGAAATTTTAGTGGTTATAGAGGAAGATATATCTTAATTTTTGAAACATTGTAATCAAAGTCCCGAATTATTTGCATTCGCTTAACCCCTTGCACTGAGATTTAATTTCAGAAAATGGAGTATTGGAAAACTGTTGTACCTGTATTTCATTCGCGATAAAATTACGGGAAAATTTTAGAATTTCTTCAAATTTTAAATAGATACGTTAGAATATAATATAATATTCGATAAGAACTCGCGACGAATTAATCTCGTTTTAAATTAAATTACGAGATCTTTTTGAAACAATGAAATTTCATTTTATTCGACAAATACGTGGATCCTTTTGCAGCTCGATCAATGAATAAATCGGAATTTTTCATTTTTCGTTACAACTATAAATGTGTTTAGCAATATAAATGTGTGAATTTGGATTTTTATTTCGTGGAGATTTGTGTGGATTTCCATTTGAAATGTGACTGGAAAGGTATAATAATTTTGATCCAGGTCGTATGAAATGATAATACCCCCTGCGATTTTCAATTCTTTTCGAGTGATTTCAAAAAGGTATATCTTGACAGAAACAATCGTATGATTATAAAAATTAAATTTGATTGTACATGTTTGTTGATAAAAATATTGAAAAAAGAATTAGTGTTCGATAAATAATTCGTGGAATATTGTATAACGGGGATAAGAAATAATCGTACGATATTGATAATAGAATAGCTTATACCGTCAAAGTATCATTTACATGGCGTCTATATAGACGCTCAGAGTCTTCGAATATCGATCAGTTTAAATCTCGTTACCTCGAGGGATTTGTTAAAGATAAATCGCGACGAAACTTTCACCATTCCCGATGTTTAATTTGAAATGTAAAGCGAATTGCACGTCGACTTGAAAATTTATATAGATAGTGCTGCTCATGAAATAATATGGTCGAGTAAATTTATTTTTAAAATTATCATCGGTATAAGAGCTGAACGCGTGAAAAATTAGCCTCACATTCGACACTGTGTTCCGGTTGAATTCGTTTATCACACGATGGTCAAGGTACCAACCGAAGTTAGTTCAGATTTCTTGTACGCCATTGATAACATCGAATCGATATATTATCGTACGATGGGAATAAATTTTCGATATATTGACCACGCAGAAATTATAGAGAACAAAATGAAGTGACATTGGCTACCGTATCCTTGAAATGTGTCAAGAGACACGTGGGAGGATAAATATTTCACGATTTGCGAAGATATTTATGCATATCCTGAATACGATATATGGAGATAATTCGTAACCACGTTCTTGATTCAAGGTCAAACTGTTTAATGTCATATAGGTATAATTAATCGTCTCGATTATCTGAAAGACCTTGGAATCGATGCAATTTGGCTAAACCCCATTTACTCGTCACCACTGATAGACTCTGGATATGATATTTCCAATTACATTGACATACATTCTCTATTTGGTAATCTACAACTTTTTTATGAGTTCATAGAACAAGCACATAATCATGGTATGTTCAATATTAACATCTTTTTTATACAATGTAAAGATCAATTTTTAGAGTGAAATAAAATATTTCAGACTTGAAAGTCATTTTGGATATAGTGCCAAATCATTCGAGCAATCAACACAAATGGTTCCTAGAGTCAAGTAAAAATGTTAAACCGTACAGTGATTACTATGTTTGGGCAAATGGATTCATAGATAAAGAAGGCAGAAGAATACCTCCTAATAACTGGGTAAATTATTATAGTGAAAATGATTTTAATAAATGTCAATTAATGTTGCTTCTCATTTAGATCAGCACTTACAGTGACAAAGAGGGATCTGCATGGACTTGGCATGATACGAGACAGCAATGGTATTACCATAAATTTCATGAATCCCAACCCGATCTCAATTTGAGGAATGAAAATGTGTTACAGGAATTACTGGTAAAGCACTTGCACTATAACAGTGGCACATATAATTAGCATATTTTGTGATTCAATAAGAAATTAATAAATATTTAAAGAGCTACATATTTTTATATTTCAGGACATACTCAAGTTTTGGTTGAATAAAAATGTTGATGGTTTTCGAATCAATTCAGTTTCGTACCTTTATGAAGATGAGAATTTGAGAAATGAGCCTGTTGCAGGAAATGGAAACTACACTTCTGGACTGCCAGAGAACACAAATCTTGTGTACAAGTTTCGTTCGTATATTGATGATTGGGTGAAAAAGAATAATGCCACTTCAAAGTATGTATAGCCAAGCTTTTCACAAAATATGCAAACATTTTATTTGAACTTATTCTGTGACACTTGTATTAAAATACTGCAACTATTGATTTGCAGATTATTAATTGCTGAGTCTTATGACACAGATGAAGTGCTGATATCGCTTTATGGTAATGATACACAAGATGGTATTCCACCTTTCAATTTCCGTTTTATTACATCTGTTCAAAACACAAGCACAGCAGAACATATTAAAAATGTTTTGGAAAATTGGTTTAAAATACTGCCAAACAATGCAAGCACAAATTGGGTGGTAAGAGTACATGTACTGCAATAATTATCCCTTATTCTCTCCTTAAAATTTAACAAGACATGTACATATTTCAGCTTTCCAATCATGATAATTCAAGGGCAGCTACAAGGATTGGATTAAATCGCGTCGATGGGCTACACATGCTTAGTTTATTGTTACCTGGTCAAGCATACACTTATTATGGAGAAGAAATTGCAATGTTAGACAGGAAAATATCATGGGAGGAAACGATCGACCCTATGGGTTCCTCGAGATCAAGAGAAACATACGCAAATTATTCCAGAGACCCTGCGAGGACACCGATGCAATGGAACTCTAATATTTCAGCAGGAAAGAAACGTTGAAGTACAACAAAGTAAAACACAAAGCAACTTGAATACCTATAAATTGCTTGCTTCTCTTAGGAAAGATAAAGTATTTACTCATGGAGATTATGAGTTTGCAACTTTAAATAATGACCGCATATTTCTTTTTAAAAGGTTTGTATGTGATAGGAATTGTATACAAAGCATAACATTCAACAAACTTTTAACTTTATCTTTCATTAGGTCTTTGCAAAAATATCCTACGTATATCGTCGTCATTAACTTGGGTCTACGGCAAGAAACAGTTAATTTAACGTCATTGTATCCGAATTTAAAAGATTCCATGGAAATTGTTGTCGCTTCCAGTAATGCAGTTCACAATACGTAAGCATGTTATTATATATAAAAACATATTCTCATTGTGAATTCAAGAAGATAAGTTGATACATTTAATCCCATTTTTTAGGAAAATTATATCGGCAGAACGTGTTATCCTTACGGCAAATGCTGCATTAGTATTGAAAGCGGAGGAAATATATTGCGATACATCTACGACCGAAATTGACGTAACTACAGTTCCTACATCGACTACGACCGACAAAAATTTAGCTGCTATTTCATCGTCAATAACACAATTAATAATAAGTACAGCTATTATAGTAACATTATTATTAAATGCTTCAACATTCTATTAAATTAAATTTTGTAAGATAGAAATTCCAGTTATGGAAATTAAAATAATGATAATACTTAAATGAAGTATTTCTATATTAAGAGCTTGTATATAACTATAACAACAAATATACGCTCGATTTATCTCACTTTACACGCGTTAAATATATCCTATAAATAGGAAGTTTATTTTTGTTTATCAAGCCATTGGCCTCAGGTGTTAACATTCTGGTTTTGAAGTGCTGCTATAATTTATATTAATAACACAAATACCCGTGCTGTTAAAATACGTTTATGAAACTGCAAATGTATTGAGTGACTCATAGCAAGCTAAGTAGTATGGTCCCAGGTGTTGACATGTGTTTAGAAGACAGTTGCATTTTCACTAAAATCATGAGTAGAAACTGCACTCGAGTTGGTGTAGTTATACAAACTGAAGAGATATGAGTTTATTATCAATCGTTTACAATACAAATAAGTGTAAAATAAAGCGAAATAGAAGAAAATTTTAAACAGTTCGTTGCCTTGTAAACTACAGAAATATATCGTTCGTTGAATTCGCGGTCACACAACAGACAGTGCGTTGTAATATGTTCAAAGTATCGTGTTTATGACTTTATCAATATGTGCCGATTCCTTTTTAATCGAGACTACAGGGATTTGAACAGACGCAAATATGTTCAATCGAGACTAACGTATCTCCCGTAAGATAAGAGTGGAAGGCAAACAATAATAGGGGCGGTAAAAGAAATTTCGCCATTCAACTGCTATCTATTCGTGACTATATTTATCGCGAACAGAAATGTCGCATTCGTCTTCATTGTCCGGTTTTATAACACTGATCATTAGCAGTCAACCTAAATCGTGTCTCGCTTGTGTAAACATAAATATTGCTATCATATCGAGAAGCAAACGAACGGGTGACGGAAAAAACAATGATTCGAGGAATGTAGTCCGCGCTAAATAAATGGAGTTCTTTTAAATATTTGAAATTTAGTAGCCATAAAATGGAAGCAAGTGGTAGTTAACGAACTAAGTTGAAACTCCGAGTTTATCAATAATTTGTTCCTTTTTATTGCGCGGTGTTAAATATCAATAGCTGAAAACTTTAGACAGTTCGAAGTTTCGGTGACTTCAACGGTGTCATTTTCGTATCGAAGCTACGGTTTGATATAAGAATTTACGTGTGCACTATATCGCTCACGCGGACTATACATTAGTCTGTCCTTGCAATAGTGTAGAATATAAAGCAGACGAAAGGAATATAAAACGATGGAATCTGCAGAAACTACTCACCTCTTTTGCGGCAAATCAGTCTACGACGCTATACGATACAACGGATCGAAGGAAATACTTGAAGACACAGGTTTGTCATCATTATGCACAAAATACGAAAAACACGCGCACGTTAGAAGAATAATGTTCAGGTGAAATCACAAATTTAAATTCAACCAATCATGATTTACATGCTCGCGCATCCATACACCATGTCATTTCTAGACTGGACATCCGTAAATTAAAGATAGATATCTAATCTAGATTTAATCGATTGATAATACGAGATAGCTCGTGTTAAATTAAAATGTGTGTACACTTAAATGATTTAAGTATATAAAATATCCTGCCAAAAAATAGTTGTTAAATTAAATTTTTATTTTAAGCAATAATAAAAAATAGAAAACGAATAAAGAATAATTTTTTTTTAGAATCAGCAAATGATAATTTTAGATACTACGCGATTGATCCAGTATGTATGAATGTCCGTCTTTGCATATTTTGGTCTTTATGGGCAACATTAATAGCAGTACTTATTATATCCATTTTATTTTACTGCTGTTTTTCACCAAAAACGTGTTTCAATTCTGAGAACATAGTTACTGTAAATATGACAAATATAGTGAGTATTTGAATAAAAGTTAATAAACTTGTTTATTCTTGAGCTTATATTTCTAAATTATCTAATTACTCTAATTCCATACTATTTCAGTAAACTTTTCAAACATCAAAAATATACAGAACACGTGTTCCTTATAATGCTGGATAAGTCTACAAATAAAATATCGATATACCTATAAAGATAATACATTTTTGTGATATCAGCAAGATGTAAGATAATTCCTAATTCCTTACTTACAAAGCTACTGTTGAACGCGAAAGAATGCAGATTAGAAAACATTATGAAATCATGGAAATTAAATGTAATAAATATTGAAAAAAATTATGATGTTAACATCTTTTGTTATTATTATATTTGAATAGAAAAAAAATATCACGTATTAACTAATTGAAAATTATGGCTTTGAATATTTTACAATGGCAATCTTAAAATATATAATAAATGTAGCTGTTAAACACAGATGCATAAGATGATAAAATATTTCTCGCGCTGATATTTGGTGCAGGTATTCTATTCGCCGTTGAAACTATTGAATCGAAAGCAGAGTACACAGTGTATTTAGATCAGCTCTGGACTACGACAGTATAGAACCCTGTGCGAAGCAGTTTTAAATAAAATTTCGTCGATAATTTCATCTAAAAGATAATATTTTTTAGTCCCGTATCCCTTAGAAGAATTTCTTAATTCATCTATCTTTTTTAATTTAGTCTCGTATTTGCCAATATATTTGAATGCAATATACAAATTTATATACATCTTATCTGAAATATTATAATTACTGTGCTATCACCTTTACCACGATAAAGGATATTTATTTAGTACATTGAATAATTCTTCGAGTATCTTTTAGTTTTTATAATGAATCAGAAATTTCGATAATATTTACTCTAAAGTTATAAGCCATGATACTTTTCAGGGACGATGGTTGCTTTAATTTTACTTTGTACCCTATATATGTAGTAGTAAAAGTAAATACATAGGTACAGGGACAAAAGAGGAGCGAGAGCCAACCAGATATCTCTATGGGGTAAAATGCATTTGTCCAGTCATTCTTGAAGCTGGGACGTTAGGGGAAGGTTGTTCACGATTCATCGAAAGTTCATCAGGAAGAGAATAATTTTCTTGGGATAAATTTCGTACATCCTCGTCGCATAAAATCGTTTAAGCACGTCCTTGGTTTTGTTTGGTAGTTATAATGGAGAGTGGGAGGTTGAATTTAGATAGCGTCGAAACGAATGGGATAGCGAAAGAAACAGTTGTTGCTACGTACAAGGCGTTACCGGACGACGACACTGTTGCACAAGAGAAGGTGCAAAATACTGCAATGGGAAAACAGAATAATGAAAATGAAATCGACGATGGAGTCCATGAAAAAATGCTCAAGGATGAGAGCAAAAATTCTCCTACAAAAGAAACTACCGAGGTATGTTCGTAGGCCATATTTTGGAAGACACGCCTAAACTTCGTGCGATCAATAAGATGAACTATTTACACGCACAATCGAAAATGTCTTTTCTTTTTACCATTACCATTACTATTACTATTGTTATTTTGTTTCATATATATAGTATATAATTGTTATTTCTTTGATTGTATTTTCACATTTACTTATTTTTACTCGGATTGTTAATTTTTCTTTGTTCCAGTAATAAAAGACAATCTATATATTTTTGAATTATTTATTAAATTTTTTCTCAAATGTTTTTATGTATAATACGTTTTATATTATTTGTATATAATATTAAATTTATTATTTGAAAGTAAGAATCTTTTATTGTTACATCATCTTGAAGTAGAGTGATATGTCGTTCAATTAAAGATAGGGAAATAACCATGATTCATTGGACATTCAAGTGAAATAGATACAGGAAACATTTATTAATATTTTCTGTAATATGTTCTTTGTCTGAATAGGTAAAATATATTTCTGAAAATGGAGACACCAAAATTGATATTGAAACAGTTAAACAAGCTTTTTGTGGAATGGGAAAGGAAGAATTAATGAAATTTGCTAATGATCCATTTTGGATTCGATTAAGATGGTTTTTATTCATTGCTTTCTGGTTACTTTGGATTGCCATGTTAGTTGGTGCTATAGCTATTGTAGTAATAGCACCAAAATGTACAGCACCAGAACCCAAAGAATGGTGGGAAATTAGTCCTATTATACAACTGGATCCTGCAGAAACAAACAATCATAACTTGAAAAGCATAGAATCTTTATTGGATATTTTAAAGGAACAAAATATAAATGCAATTTCTCTTTCTTCTATAGTTAAAGAAAATCCAATGGGTAATTACTTCTATATATATACAGATAGATTTATGGATAGTTTTACTTATCATAATATAACAAACATTAATAAACATTTGATAACATAGGAGGAACAGAAGACTTTAAAAATATTAAATCAGAATTAGGAACTATAAGTGACCTAGAGTCCCTCATAAAATATGCAGAAGGCAAAGATCAGCATATCATTTTAGAATTAGATCCAAGTCATACATCAACTGAACATCCATGGTTTAAACGTTCTATAGAGAAAGAAGAACCATTTACATCTTATTATGTTTGGGCTGATGCAAAAATAACTTCTGATGGTAAACATAATCCACCTAATAATTGGGTTAGTTGTAGCTTCTTTTTTGTTAAAGATATCATTACCATGTATAATATATACTATATATAATAGACTACATTTTTTTTTTAGTTAAGTGTCTATGGAGGATCAGCATGGGAATGGAATGAGCAAAGAGGACAGTATTACCTTCACCAATTTAACTACACACAACCTGAATTAAATTACAATAATCCAACAGTAGTTACAGAATTTGCTGTGAGTTATTATTTTGTTTTTTGTCTTACATATAGATTCAAGAATGTCCTGAATAATACTTAATTTTCAATACATAGGATATTTTGAGTCATTGGATAAAATTAGGAATTAGTGGATTCCGCTTAGCTAATACACAATATTTAACTGAGGATCCAGATCTTCATGATGAATTCAGAAGCACTATTCCTACTGAAGCAGATGATTATGATTCGCTAGTACATGCATATACAAGAGACCGACCAGAAAATGTTGGTATCTTGTCAAAATGGAAAGAAAGGGTTTATAATGAAACAGAAAATAAAGGGTTAGTTGTCTTAAATAATCATAACAATAATATGTATATTGTGCTCACTTCGAATGAAATTTTATATAAAATAATATTTGTTCAGGTTCTTTGCTCTTCAAGATGATATTGGGACTGATATTTTACAAGTTTACAACGAGAAGAAAAGGTTGATCGATCTCCCACAAAATTCACAATTCTTTACAATAGCAGACAGCAGTATAAATGCCACAACTTTGCACCGTGGCATTTATCACTGCCTCAATTCCACTCCTTGGCCTGCTTGGGATGTAAGATTCTGTAATATATATATATGTACCCATATCACATAAAATATACAATGTATTATACTATGTTCTAGGTCAATGGCAAGAAACATAGTTTGAGGGAAAGAATGCCTGCAGATATAGCAGACAGTTTGGTACTCATGACATTACTTTTACCAGGCACACCTGTGCTCAAAGTAAATGATACTCTATCTGCAAAGGATGCCTTTGCAACTTTATCTAAAACAAGACAAAGTTTAACGTTCCTTTATGGAGAGACAATGCTTAAGACTATTAATGGAAGTGTATTTGCATACACAAGGTAATATAACAGTATTCTTCTTTTTTCACCATTAACATTATTTGTATGCTAAATATGTCTTGTCGCCTTATAATTTAACAATAATATCAAGAGATGGGTAGATGGTCTAAAAACTTTAAAAAATAGAACTTAATAATTAATTAAAAAAGGTTCAATCAGTTTAATTCACAATTGCTATAAATCATCTCAATTGCCCTTTGATACTACACTTAAACCTTAAATAACTCATACACCTTACACAACTCACACAAATATACTGTGTAATTTATTAACCAAAGATTAATTTGCCCTGTTCCACGCTTCCTTTTATGGACGCAGGAGGCGGTGAGTCCTCTTAATAACATATTGCATGCGACCTATCTTTAAAAGTAACGTTAAATAATAACAATTTTGACTAACAAAAATGTTAACGTAATTAATGTTGTTGAAAATTGAGTCAAATTTTCTTTCTTTTCTCTCAATTAAAAAAATTTTGAATTAAATTAAGACTAAATAATTGTCTAGGTTAAAGAGTGGCAATCCTGGTTACTTAGTAGCTTATCAGTCATCAGAAGAACCTACTGTAGTGGACTTCTCTGTAATGCCACAGATTTCTGATGAAGTTAGTGTAGTCACGCATAGTCCTAACTACGTACAAGACGGCAATATGATAAGGTAACATTATTACAAAATTATTGTCTTTTTATTCTTTTTCTTTTTTTCTTTTTTTCTTCATATACATTATATTTATGTACATTATATACATCATATTTATGTACATTATGTACATCATATTTATGTACATTATATACATCATATTTATGTACATTATATACATCATATAGAATAATTATTTCGTAACAATTGTATTTGATACAATTTTTTTTTTACAGGACAAAGTTGCCCTCTAATAAGGTTCCTATATCATCCAAGAGTACAGTTGTTCTAACGTTTGTTCCAAAATCTTAATTACGAGACAAAACGTGTATAACTAATTAGTAAGAATCTCGTATTTATCATCCTCTCATGTAATGGCATTTATTACAAGTAATTATGTATTGTTTTTGTCAACAATATAATTAAATGTAATGCAATGAAAATATAGAGTTCTATAACTAACCTACCATTATCTTTAAAGGAAAGACTTTTTTTTTATTATAATCGAATTAATATAAATAATTTTATAATCGTATTTATTACTCAAATATATCTATGAAGTTTATATGGATCTGTGAACCTTGCTGTAAAAATATAAAACAATGCAGGTAAAGGAACTAAAGCAAGCATTGCCGGGTGA